GGATATGTGGAAGGAAGGCATCTGGACTCCATCAGGCACACTAGCTATCACTGTGACCAAAAAGCGGAAGGACAGAGAAATGGACCACTAGGGTCCCCGTACCCATGAGGTGAGCTCTGGTTAGGACCTTACAGGAGGAATCCCAGGGCTCAGAGGAGACTCACAGCAGGGACTCACACCTGTCCAGCAGTTCAGATCAGGACTGGGAATCTCAGCCTGCCTCCTGCTTAGAGCAAAAACCAAGAGAACTAAAAATGCATCTGCTGACCCCATCTTCCTGACCACAAGGTGTCATCACTCCTGCCTGAGTGAGCAGATGTACGTACGTGTGTGTGTGTGTGTGTGTGTGTGTGTAAGAGCTGTTCAGCATTGACTGTGCTCTTTGCCACCAAACTCTGACCCTCACATCCCTGGTCAAAAGGTGGCAAGAGCTACATGACAACACTCAGAAGGAAAGAAGAATTGAGAGCTACAAGTAGATTTCAGTGGTTTGGAGATACAGCGAGAGTCCAAGTCTAAATCAAGGGATTTTTTTTTTTCCCTTAAACTAGAGCAACTGTACTCCTGAGACTTGCTCTTCCTGTATTTAACCTTTCACTCTTGGGGCTGGAAAGAAACACACATTACAACCCCACTCTCACACACTGAGTAAATTCACAGCTCAATCCACACACCGGCACCCTCCCAAAACACCACAGCTATCGTCTACTTCCTCCTGATTAAATGCATGTCCTCCAGGAACCACACAATGAGGCGCCTGTCTGGTAAATACAACATGTGGTTTCAGTGAGAATCCGCTGCATCCAGCAGCTGGTTTATAAGCATTGGTTGGGGTTACTCTGATCCCAGAAATCACTCCCATAATGAAGAGTTCCTCCTGACCTCTTCACCCATCGTGGAAAAAGCCACAAGACCCTCTTACCACACACGAAACTCTCTGGTGGTACAGAGAAAATGCTCTGGCCCTTCAGTGACTGGGGGTGGGCACAGGTGGCTGTCACAAAGGCTTGCAGCATCCTCCCCGTCAACCACGGAGGCAGCCATTTCAGCTGGCAGTCACACAGGAAGCTGTCACTGCTCATATGGCTGAAAGAGAAACAAGTGGAGCCTTGAAATGTGACCGTAACGAAGGGATATTCCTCACCTCCAATCAGCTTCTGACATTCGTACTGCAAGCTGGAGCGGGGATATGACTGTTCACACACTTCCTCCCCAGTGACCCAGAGCATACACATTACCTACTTGAATATTTTGTTCAAATGCAGCTTCTGACTCAGTGGAACAGGGCGGAACCCCACATGCTGCACTGCTAACAAGCTCCCAGGTGATGCCGACTGCTGGTGCAGGGGCCACTCAGTAGCAAGAAGCCAGAGCTGACCCTTTTAGTCAACTACTACTCTTCTTTGACCTTAGGAACAGTCTTACCTTTTTGGGCCTGTAACACGTCCAACTATGGTGAGCCAGCACTGTCCCCTCTCTGGTTCTTCCCACTTTCCCAGCAAGCTACTTGGAGGGTCCAAACTCAATGTGAAACTCTGATCTATATTCTTAGAAGAGCTCTTTTCCTATATGGCTGCTAATTTTTGATTTGGCAAAGCTGTGGGTTTTCTTCCTTCCACAGGTCAGCCTGGCCAAACGTGCTTCCCTCTTGTTTGTGTATTTATCTGCACACCAGCATCACTCAGGAGGCCGGCAGAATTCCGCTCCGCTCCCTAAATAGTGCCTATGAGTTAATTGCCACTGCCCAGGGAGCATGAGAACGCACAACTTTGGTTTTGTGAGGCTCCAACCAAAACAGAGAATATTTTCTTTTTCATTTCTCAGCAACTGAGGATAAGCCTTTTTAAACAGCAACTGGAATCGCCATCTCAGCGGACATTCCTTCCCGAGGAGTCACTTGAAGTCAACCAGAGACTCTAGCTGCCTGATCCTGGAAGACCTCAAAGCTGTGAACTAAAGAATGATGGCTGACTCATGACAAGGATAAAGACTGAGAAAGAAAACAGACGAGCTCCCTTGTAATAAACTGTGTCACATGGTTACTAAGAGGAGGTGCGAGTACCTTTAGAATTTCCCAACTGCCAGTGGCCAACTAACTACTGAATCAACAGCCCCCGCCTCCATCCACTAGTGTCCTAAGTTGTCAGCAAGGCAACCAAATAGACTACATTTTTGTTTTTCAGTTCATTTTGGCCTTCAAATTGAATGGAGAAGCTGTCAAACTAGTTAACAGCAAGGGGGAAAGAAACTTAAGCTGGATAATCCAAGGCTGACTAAATTAAACCACTCTTCTCTGCTGGTGCTCATCACTCCCAGGTTAGTTAGGCATCTTGATCATTAAAACAATTTTGGGTAGTGCTTTTTTAAAGACTGAAATAACCTAACTCAAAGCCATTATAACTGCAATACTTGCCCCTATTAGACCTTAAAGTCACTATTAGATGTTGTATTTTTATTTGATGGTGAATAGTTCTCTGCATAGCGCTATCTGGATGGCTGCCTGTGGAGGAGTGACGGTGAGGGCAGCAGCACATTCACACTCAACAAGAGCCGGGGCCGACGCTCAGCATGAGGGCATCTTCCCAGGAGTGCGTCTGTAGGGTGGCCAAGGGGCTGCTGTCAGGTTCTGAGGAGCTCACCACCAGCCCGGTGCAGAGCCACAGAGCCTCTCACTGTCAGAAAGCACCTACGGCTCCCATCCACACTGCCCTTGGCTGTGCAGTCAAGCAGGAAAGGCTGGGTACTTTGAATGAAATCCAAGAGGAAGACAGTGGGCCATCACTGTGAGATCCGTGGGGGGGTGTGTGTGTGTGTGTGTGTGTGTGAGTGAGTGAGAGAGAGAGACAGTGTGTGTGTGAGAGGGATAGAGAGAGTGTGACTTTAAGTGTGTGTGTGTGTGTGTACTTAATTTGACCCAAAGGAACATATTGGAAAAAAAAAAATTTGACATCTGTCCTTGGTTAGAAACGTGTAAAAAAAAAGTTCACCTTCATATTATAGAGTCAGTGTATTCACTGGGACTGGCAACACTGAGGCTTTTCCAACTACCACAAATGAAACCCACCTCAAATAGAGGAGACCAGACCTTAGAAAAATAGCCCATTCCTCCATTGGAAAGAAGGTTTTCCTAAGGAATACGTTAGGACCAAGAAGGCAGATGGCAGGGGACTAAAATAAGTGTACTGGCAGCCCACCGCCCATCACCAAATCCACATACACTGCACTTTAAAGACAGAGGCTAAGCTGACAGGCCAGGCAGCAGGGACTGAGTAACCCCAAGGCTCTGCGAAGATCTTACTACTCTCCCTTCACTAACTAAGAGCACAGCCTCAACTGCTAACAGGCTGTGCCTGCCCGTGGCTCCCACCTCCAGCCACTCTAATACTCCACTGGTTCATACTGTGTATTTTCATGATTCCAACTCAAAGTGTGTTTCTAATCATCACTTGTGGAAATTTACCCAGAGGATGACTAAGTGGGCAGTACAACCTGCCTCGATCCAAGGAGGGAAGAAAATGACCAAGTGGAATTAACCGTATCTTCTCCCATTAGAGGCCTGGGCCCAGAGCCAGCCTCAGCTGGGTACACGCAGAAACTGTTGGGAAACCCAGGCAGGAAACCGAGGCTGAGCCTCCAGAGGCAGGCAGAGGCTGTGCGGGGCCCCAGGCCCTGGAAGGGCCCAGTCCTTCCCAATCAGAGAATAGTCTCAGGAAAACAATGTTCAGGAGGAGGCCAAAAGGACAATCTTCCTTTCCCTTCCTTCCCTCTCTCTCTCAAAATACCCTCTCTTCCCATTAAGTCAGTTCTTTTTCACTCCCAGTTTTTTATTATGAAGAGTTTCAAACAGAAAAATTAAAAGTGTACAGTGAACACCTATGTACCTACCACCTAGATTTTACCATGAACATTTTACTATGCTGGCTTTATCATCTATCATAAGTCCATCCTCATAAAATGGCCCTGAATCATTCCCTCCCTCCCCTTTCCCTGCAATGAGAGCTATGGAATCCTTTCTTGGTATTAAGTACTATCCAAAAGAGACAAAAAAAAAAAACAAAAACACCACTGCCATCGAGTCCATTCTAACTCACAGCAATTCCCTCATTGGGTTTGACAAAATTGTAGATCTTTACAAAAGTAAAGTGCCTCATGTTCCTCCTGTGGAGAAGCTGGTAGATTTGAACCACCAACCTTTTGGTTATCAGCCCAATGCCTTAACCATACCACTATAGCTCCTTAAACAGACAAAAGCAGAACTAACGACGCAAAAAGAAAGGAAAGGCACCAGAACTTAACAGTTTTTTGCAGCATGCTAAGGCTCCATGGAACCAGCTAACAAGTTCCTAAATCCTGTCTGAAGTCATGACCCTTCTGAGAGAAAGCATTACCTTGACAGACTTAAATCTCACAGCAAACTAAATGTCAAGAGGCAAGTGCCCAGACTACCTCCTCTGCTCACTTACCCAGAGGAATGTCACAGGGGCCTGGCTTGGGTTTTTAATACTAGGACTGCTAGGGGCAGAACCACGCCTCCCCATAGCCCTATCCCTACTTAGGGCATAAAGGTCCTTTGGCATGTGCCATTTTGTCAGCACTTATAAACAGTCACAAGTCCTATCTCTAAGGAATCGCTACTATAGCTATAAAACTTAGTTTCTAAAGAATTGGCTTAATGTATTGGAAAAGGAAAGGAAACGTGAATACTTCCACCAGGATACCTAAACTAACAACTGTGCTGCAGACCTGGATACAGGTAAGCTCTTAAAACCCTTGTCACCCTAGAGTCCATGGTCAAAGTCGTGATGCTACCCTGACTACCTACTTACCACAAGTAAACCCTGAAAACGGATGTAGGCTGGTCACCACTTCAACTCTGACCATCCCATAGATTTCTCTGCTTCATTCACAGTCCATCAAACTCTGTATAAAGCCTCTCTCCATATAGGTTTTTTCTCTTTAAGCAAACAAAGGAGGAACATTTGTCCTTCACATAATTAAAGGAGTGATTATCCACTTTCCCGAAGAGTTTATTTCACATCCTCCAGAACAGAAGTTAGCAAACTACACACAGCCTGTGGCTGCTGCCTGTTTTTATAAATAGGGTTTTATTAGCCCACACCCACTCATTTGCATGCCATCTGTGGCTGCTCTCCACTGTACCAACAGAGAGTGAAGTAGTTGTGACAAGAGCTATATGGCCCACAGAGGTCAAGATATTTACTGTGTGGCCTTTTAGGGAAAAGTTTGTCAACATGCAATCCAGAATAATCCCCCCCACCCCCCGACCCCAAGGGCTTTTTTTTTTTTTTCTGTAGCATAGTGCCTAAGGCACTTGACTGCTAACCAGGAGGCTGGTGGTTCAAACTCACCAGCCACTCCTCGGAAGGAAGGCTGGGCAATCTACTCCCATAGTGATACCAGCCACTCCTCGGAAGGAAGGCTGGGCAATCTACTCCCATAGTGATACTGCCTCGGAAACCCAAGGAGGGGATGCTATGAGTCGGGGCTGACTCGACGGCATATACCACCACCACTACAACAAAGTAATTTAACTTAGACACAACTATAAACAATCACAGCAATTACATAAAGTGAGGTATAATGCAGTTATGGGAGTTTCTGACTCTGGAATTCTCCATTCATGTTAATCAGAGCCCAGGGGTCCTTATTACTTACAGCTCTTTAAGATTCTTCATCTTCACAAAGGCATCAAACTGGACAGACCGGATTGCATTGTCACCAAGGTTCCTGAAAAAGAACACCTTTCACTTACCCAAAGAAATCTCAGCTACCTTCAAGGCCCAGCCATCCCTTAACTGACACGTGTGTGAGCCAATACACAAGGGATTTTTCAGGATAGCCCTGCTTTCAAGATGAATGACAGGTACTAGCCAGAATGCCATGTCCTCATTCTGCTCTAAGTAGCTATCATTTCATATATATTGACACATATACATGAAGTCACTCTGGAACCAAGCCCCCTGGAAGGGCAGCATCAAAGCAAAGTTGAGGCCTCCCCTGCATGTCAGCAGGCCAGAGCTTCCCCAACAGAAGTAAGATCAACCTTGGTTCAAAGAGAAAATAAACTAGAATCAGGTACTAGAGACACCAGCCCCCGATGATGACAACGTGAGCACTTAGTCCTCTTCCTCTCAGGGTTTCAGGCAGCCCTACCAGAGAACCTATCAGTCGAGTCCAGCATGCACTCGCCTGGTCAGCTGCTCTAGTGCTGCAGCAGATGTGGCCCTCGTGGGAATGGAAATGAGGCCGGGGCCAGTGGTGAGGCAGGGCAGGCTGAGGAAGGAAGGTATTTCTCCAAATACCAGTTGTATTAATTGGGAGCATACCAACTGCCACATGTTCTGTAACTGCTCCTGGCACAGGCAAAATAAGGGCCAAAGTTGAAGCTGCCTCATAATGAGAAGGAAGCAGCTGGCGTTTCCAAATAGTCTGTTTCTTGGTTTACAAAGATGCAATTAAATTGCTAGCAGACTTCCCCGGGAGTTGCATTTGGCAGGCCTGTGGGTCAGGGAAGGTCTGGCAAGATACTCACAGGTGCTCCAGGCCTTCCAGCCCCGAGAATGCTCTCTTAGCCACAGACTTGATCTTGTTTCCAAACAGAGTCCTGTAGTTTCCAAACATCCAGAAACATGGGGAAGGGAAAAAAAAGAAAAAAGGTGGAGGGAAGGACAAGGGAGGGTTGCAGGAAAAAGAACACACAATTAGGGTGGTGCTATCTGATAAGTCTGTCCGGTGAGACACAGGTGGAAATCTGACCTGTGCTGAGATTAACGGTCTGAGGTATGCAGGCCTTCCCCTTTCAGAAATGAAATACTTTTATCTTTATGAGAATTTAGCAGTGATGACAGGCTGGAATTGCATGCACCATGTTGCCTAAAAAGGCCCTTTGCTATGTAAAGTGGAAAATCACCTTGTCCAGCCCCAGCTGCCTCTAAGGACCACCCAAGGGGGCGGGGAGGGGGGAAGTTTGGCAATGGCTTCACAGTAGAGAAGGGGCTGCTTTGCTGCTTCAGTGAGGAGGAGGACAGTCGGAGAGGGTAATGAACAGTGGACCCCAAACTGCTGCCCAATCAGAAAACTGAATGCTGGAGATAAAGGTTGCCAACAAAGGCAAGAATAGGGTAGAAAAACAGGCATCCTTTGACATGGCTCTGTAGCTCTTTGCACTTGAGGCCCACACACACAGCCAGGGTACAATATGGGGACCTGCGTCCTTGCCCATGAGACTGACCTCCTCATGGCCTGCAAGAGAAGCCAGGGGGCTCTGGCCTCTTTAGCAAGACCCCAGATTTTGTAAGATGGCAGTGGGTCTGAGGTTCATAAAATCCCAGGTCCAAGGACGCTCAAAGGTCAACCTCCAACATTACCAGATGCCCGTACCCCATGAGAAGGGGGCTTCCCCCTCAACCCAATTCCAGTTCCAACTGAACAGTAACTGTTTCCTCAGAAGCCAAAGTCTGCCTCTGTACAGCACGCACAGAAGAAAGGAGTGCACTCCCATTGGGCTGTGTAACTAAGGTTCCAGTCCTTCCCTCCGCAGCATCAGAGCGCTCCCTCCAGCTCCTGCTGGTGCAGGGGAGGTGTCTACTGGTGCCCACACAAAGGCACGTGGCCTTTCAAACTTCAACGTCCATCAGTTTTATAAAGGGCTTTCTAGGAACACAGACTGCTGGGAGCAAATTCTCAGAAATGCTCAGAATCAGGAGGTCTGGGACAGAGACTGTTAGGGAGAGGGGTGCAAATGGTCAGAGGACCACCCTGGAAGAAAGTCGGGCTAGTCAGGCCCTTACTGGGAGGGAGCATTCCTTGTCTAGGATCCCAATGAGAATTAGTGGAAGAATCTGGGCTAAAAGCCAGCCCTACCTTCAGTCCTACATTAAGACCAGGGCCCACAAAGGAAAACAACAAGCACCAGCAACCCCCCCCACACACACACACCCCCAAAGAGGAAAGAAAGGAAATAAGAGCCCTGATGAGAACCAAAGGTGGCAGGGCTGCCTGGCTATTGCCAGTCTCACAGGTCCTAGGCTTGATCTCATTGGGAAAGGGTTCCTGGGGGACTCCCTCACCCCAAGCTAAGTACAGGTTCCCCTGCTATCCGAAAACAGAGTATTCCAGTGAAACCTCTGTAAGCCGAAATGGAATAAAGTGAAAAAACAATTACCATTAATTTATATGGGAAACGGTTTTGAGTGTTCCCAGACCCTAAAAATAACCTACCAAATCCCACATAAAACCTAAAATAACACTAACAGAGTGTTCACAGGCACAATTCACAACTGTGGCGGTTTGATGAGTGTTGCTCTGGGAAGAAGCTTGGAGACACCACTCTCACTGCTTAGGGTGCCGCCTCTTTAACAGCTCTCACTGAAAAACAAACACCGAATGCTAGTTTCACTTTTCACCTTTTCTCATAAAAGTGCAAACCCTCTTTGGATTCTTTCAGTTAGTGAAAACAGGTCTAAAGAAAGTCTTCAGTAAAAGCGAAGTGGCATAAAGCAAATTTTCAAAAAGCAATGGACACCTGTACCCGACGCCAGGCTCACACCTGAAACAGACTCCACCAGTGCCACAGAGCCACACAAGGATGCCCTTTCTCAGCCTGCTCCCAGGACACTGCAAGCCCGAGAGGCCTACTTCCCGGGGCAGCCGCCCCACAGGGGGCTCCCAAGTCCCCTATTTCATCGGAAACAGACCTCTTCCTGCTCCTGGTCTTAAAAAGCAGCCTCATCAGCAACTCCCGAGTTCAGCCTTCAGACCAAGCCAAGCCTGTTTTCTGCCTCCAGAGGGTGACAGGGCAAGAAGGCCACAGACCCCTTTGCCATTTCTTTCTCTCAGAGGCTGTCTGTGTGGATGTGAAAACAATCTTACCCAGAAAGAGCTTCCACAGTCTCTCTCGATGTGAAAGTTTCATTTTAAAACAAATACACCAAATACACAGAGAACCCAGTGGCTGTGCTAACAGATGCTCCCTCACCACAGAAGCAACCCAGTAAGGACAGCACACGGGCACTTAACCCTGAACACAACTCTGAAGATGCCAACTCATATCGCCCCCGAGGCCAGACCACTTCTACGTCCTGGTAAACACACGCTGTTTCGTGAAATCACCTGTAAACCAGGCCCAGGAAAAAGCTGTGCTTTATTTTGTCCATTAAATATTAGTCACATTAACCTCCTTTTAGGGTGAGGGCAGGCTGTTATTTTTAAAAGTGACAAGAGCAATAAGGCACATTCTCAATAATCCAAGTGAATGGATTACATACAGCCTTGGAAACCCTACAGGGAAGTTCGACTCTATAGGGTCATTATGGGTAAGAATTGACTGGACAGCAATGGGTTTCAATCATCCTGCTAGCGGATTAAAATAGGTCCCTACGTTTCCCCAGTCTAGCAGGAGGCTGGGGTTGAGCTCCAGCTGGTGGCTGCTGGGGAGTTCTAATAAAGGCTGCCATGCGGGAAAGGAGAGCTCTGCCTATTGGCCAAGAGGATGCTGATTCTGCCTAAAGAGAGGGTAGGTGATATATGGATAAACCTGACTCAGGCCCTCAAAGAAGGAACTAGTGGCCTGACTCTTCAACACCATCAGAGCAGACAGGGACCCTGGGGAGTCACCTATCAAATTTTCTCCGGCATCTCTTGGCCAGCCCAGCAAGGGGCCCCCAAAGGCCTGTTCAGCTCTTGTTACAAACAGCAAGCCTGGTATGCACCACGGGAGGAGTGCTGTTCTGGTTACCTAGTGCCACTCTGAAAAGAATATACCACAAATGGGATGGCCTTAACAAACAGGAGTTTATTCTCTTACAGTTTGGAGGCTTTAAGTCCAAGTACAAAGTGCCACGCTCTAGGGCTGGGTGAAAGCCCCTCAACCTTGGGGTCCAGCTCTGCCTCCTACTCCCAGCCCCATGGAGCTAGAGGCATTTCTTCACTCTGACAGCTGCTGGCTGCTGAGGCTAACAAGCCCAAGGTTAACAAGTAAAAAGGCACAGTCCTGATGTTACCAAATCACATAGCAGGCCATTAATTCAAGTTCATTGTTAAGTCCCAAGGTCAGCAGAGCACGGCAGGCTGCTGAACGACGACACGGCTACATGCAGGGTCCAAGCATGCCACAGGCTAGAGACCATTCCCAAGGCTTCTCCTTATATACAGGAAGGGACCACATTCCAAAGGCAGCTACTCAGCTGCCTGTGGTAGATCCCACCATGGAGTTGACTGCCAATCTAATCATGGGGAATAACTACCACCAGCTGCCTAGTCACTCAACCAGACCCAGCCAAGTTGACAGACAAAGGTAACTACCACAAGTGCTAAGGTGGTCCTTGTCCTGTTTTTGGCAATAGCCACGATGCAAAAGACCCTCAACAATGAACAATGGGGCTGTGGACTGAGCTTCACCTACTGGTTGAGAGGGGGAACCTACTCAGGCCCCTCCACCTTACAGCAATGGAGAAGCTCTGCTTTATAATCCAACTCTGCCCATTTCTCCATGTATTCCCTCCACCATACCTCCTACATGTCATGTCACTCAACCCCTGCCCTCCGGAGGAATGCTGTGAGAGAGATGGTACCACGGGCTGGCACATGCATTACTTATCACACATAGGTGATCAGATGCTCCTCTCTGCTGCTAATTGGAGGTCATGAAATCCTCCAGGTGCTCCACAAACATGCTGAGATGGGGGCCCTGGTGTAAGGAACATCATTATTATCACAGGCATACTACAAGGAAGAAAGCAACTCATGAGGCTCTGGGAACATTCTCACCCTGTCAAGAAGTTCCAGTTTGAAGAACTATCCAAAATGGTTGTGCATAGCTGGAAACATTAAGGGCAAGGTGGCATCTACCCAACCTTCATGAAAGAGAAAAAAAAAAAACCCACTGCCACTGAATCCATTCCAACTCATAGCAACCCTTAAAGAACAGAGCAGAACTTCCCTATAGGGTTTCTAAGTCTGTAAAGTTTTACAGAAGGAGACTGCCAAATCTTTCTTCCACAGAGTGGCTGATGGCCTTGAACTGCCAACTCTTTGGTTAGTAGCTGAACGCTCTGACCACTGCCTTTTATGATTCTGTTACTCTCTCCTTCCTTTCTGAGAGAACATTTCATTTTAGGTCTGGCCTCTTTTGTGGTAGGAGGGACTCCAGGTCCTTAAGTAACTCAATAAAGGCCACAAAGTTTCCCCTCCCCATTCTAAGGTGGATGTCTCAACACCAGCCCCTCCTGCTCTTCAGAGGCGACCCCACATTGGATGGAAAGGACCAGCCACACTGATGCTGTCTGCACAGGGTGAATCTGTTCATTGGACACAACAACTCTAGGAGAGCAACCCTTCTCCAGGAGATAGACTCCCTGCTTTTCACTTCTCAGCCCACAAAAACCAGCCAGCACAGCATATGGCCCTTTCTCCTGGCCCTGGCTGTGCAAAAGAGCTTCCCAGCAATGCTCTGAGGAGACAGGGTAGGGGAGATCAAAATCAGCATTCCTTCCTTCCTTCCACTCACCAAATGCTTACTCAACACCTACCACATGCCAATCCCACTGGTTTTTAACGAGAGCTGTGCACCAGGATCATGTGGAAAGTATTTGCTTTTCGTTTTCCCTTTGAATGTGGACAATTTCAAACACCATCAGAGGTGGACACAAGAGTATCATGAACCCCTGTGTACCTACCACCATCACCCAGTCCTGCCAATCGGATTTCATCTCTGCCTCCACCACTTCCCACCCCACCCCAGCTGGATTCTGTGGCATCCAACTCACAGGCATCTTCTCTTTTTTTTTTTAATCTAAGAATATAATAATTCTTTTTTTCCCCTTTTGCATCATAACCATGGTGTCATAATTCCAGCACACAGATAAAAACTGACTACATATATTTAATCATATTAAGGAATTAAAGTTAATGTCCAATTTCCACCAATGTTGTGTGTGTCTGTCTTTTAAAGCATGTATATGGAATCCAGCCCCTGGATTTGAACTCAGGGAGCTGGGTAGGCTATAGCCTGAGACTGTGTACTTCAACAGATTCTCACATGCATCTCATTACTAGGTCGGTTTGGAAATCACTGTGCTAGTAGAGCCCCTACAAAGCCAGATACCTCAAGGGAGGAAAAGGGGGAAGTTTGCACAGACTTCATGAGGGTTTAGCTAGAACTGCTGAGCCTAAGTCCAGTGCAGCACATCAGGAGAAAACACCAAGGAAGACAGACAGCAGGCAAAGAGGAAGGCAGCCTCAAGCTATAAAAGGTCCTGAGAGCCGATCATAAGGTGCAGACCCTCCCCCCCCTCAGTGGGAAGAGGAACCAAGGAAATACCCCCTGCTGCCATAACACCCAAGAACTGTGGCTGTGGGTTTCACTGGAGGGACAAGCCCCACAGGGAGCTAGGCCTACTCTCCCTGCCATCACCCATCAATTAGCTATGGGTGCCATTGTCAGATCACCTCGATGGCTTTGATTTTGAGGCCTGGCTGGGCTTCAAATCATCAGGCTTGTGCTTTCCCAACTCCAGCCCCTTTAGAAGCTAGTAGGTCATTTTGCCTCTCTCTCTCCCCTTTTGCTGTTTCTGGCTCTCCCACAGCTTGCCATGCACAGGTTACAGGACTGAGGGTGGAAAAGAGGAGAGGTTTAGGAAAGAAAAAGCAGAGAGACAGGCACTTTTGACATGCTAGCATCGCACATGATGCTGGCGAAGAAACCCCCCTTCGATGAGCACTGAAGCAGCTCATTTTAATCAGTACCCTTAGAGTATCACAGGTGTGAAAAACACACTTTCCAACACAAATCAGGTTTTAACCTACGAGGAAGACTCACTCTCCCCACACGCTTTCCCAACAGCCCATGCTCTCAAAACACTTTCATTCACACTTGGAGGGCAGGTGGGCTCCCCTTTGCTCACTACCACCAGGACTTGGAAATCAGAATGGGAACTGTCTCACCCTCTCCTAGTATCCTCTCTGAGTGGCTGATACACAGTGAATAATCACTCTGATTCTCATTCTTGTATGTTCTGTGGGACAGCAGTGAGGCCAGAAGCAGAGAGAACCAGGGTAGGATGAGAAAAAGAATGTGGGCTTTGGAGCCAGGCAATCCTGACCCTGCCACTAGTTAGCTGTGTAGTCATGAGCAAAATTCCTTTACCTCTCTTTCTTCAACTAAAAAAGGGCAACATACAGTGTCTGCCTTCATGAGACTCTTGGATACAATGTACACACAAAGTGCCTAGCACAGTAACTGGCATATTCTGTTGTTATGTGCCCTCGAGTCCTGTCCAACTCACAGTGACCCTATGCACAGCAGAATGAAACACCGCCTAGCATATTCCAGGTGCTATAAAATAAAAGGGGGGAGGGGAAGACGAGGGAAAACACACAACCCAAAACCTTAAATGAAAAAAAAGCTGTTAACTATTACCCTTGGTAATGACCATTTGTGTTTAAGATTAGGATTGATGTCAAAAATACTTACACCAACCAAACCTACTGCCAGGGTGTTGATACTGACTCACAGCAACCTTATCGGACAGAGTAGAACCGCCCCAGAGGGTTTCCAAGGCTGTAAATCTTTACAGAAGCAGATGGCAGATGGCTTCATTTTTCTCCCACACAGTAGCTAGTGGGTTCACACCACCAACTTTTTCATTAGCAATTGAATGCTTTAACCACTGTACCACAAGAGCGCCTCAAAAATACTACAGAAGGCTTAAAGCCATGAAGAGTTGCTTAGCATTCAGACTTGTCTAGAAACTGAATCAGGGTGCAAGCCTTCTGCTTCTCTGTGTAAAGACCAATGAAAAAATCTGAACATTTTCACGTCAGTCACATTAAGCAAGAGAGCAGAGTCAATGGCTATCAGACACCAACTCTTTGGCTTCACAGAAACCAAGGCCCAGGGCAGCAGGACCACCGTTGGGATGCTGCCTCCTTTCTCATACAGACTTTTCTCCCCAAAATGAAAGAAGCAACTCAGGGAGCCACCCTCCTCCTACAGAGCCCAGAACAAAGGAGGCATCTGTAGGGGAGGAGGAACCCCAAGCACCACCTCCCACTCCAGAGCCACAGAACTTCAGACACTAGATACTCACAGCTTGCTGAGGCTGTCAAGGCCCATAAAAGCTCCACTGGTGTCCTCAATTGTACCCGAAACCTCGTTATGGTCCAGATCCCTGGGAGAAGAGAGAAAGCAAGCTCATCCTCCCGTCTCAGTTCTCCACTCATTCTTCAACATCAAGCAGGGAGGAGAGTCTCAGACTTACATGAGGCTTCCAATTTGAATCTAAAAACATCTAAGTGCATTCTACGTGTCCAGCCATAATGGATGGCTAAGGGAAGTATGACCACTTCCCCAACAAGAGGCCTAGTTTTGCCTACCTCGCTGTGTGTCCTCCAATAAAGCTGACACTAGCCTCATACATGAAGCGTCCCCAGAGCTCAATGTGTTGCTTCCCGGGCTGCCAACGCTGAGTTCGGTGGTGGGAGGGTACAGACAGTACATCTGTATTCTGCCCCCACAGAGTGGGCATCTGGCCTGGTAACTGAAAACCAGTGTGAAGTGTTCCTTAAGGTCCCTGTCTGCTCTCATACCAACCAGAACCCCTTTTCCACACTGGACCAAGAAAGTATGGCAGGCACATGAAGGAAAGGGACACCAAAGAGAAGGGCCCTAGGCGGGGCTTCCTCTGTGCAAGTGGACCTGGACCCAGGGGCCTCATCACATCACTGTGCAGGCACCAACTCTGAGCCAGGAAGCACATCTGGGCGCTGAGTCAGACTTGTGAGCCGCCTGCCAGAATCGCAAGGACGAGGCCAAGCTCTGAGCCCAGTCTCCTCCAACACCACAGATCACAAGGCTTCCTTGCCCCAGCTTCCAACAGGAGGCCACAGCTCCCAGGTGAAGCTGCACACCTGGCAGCCAGGCCCCCATGCTACAACACATCTAGCCCTCTCCAACTTTACACAAGGTTCCTGAACTGTCCTCCTCTAAGCCCTGGCAAACGCAGAGCCAAGAAGAGAAAGAAATGCTGCTCTTGGCCCCCACAAGATCCCTCAGAAGGAATCACGCTGCCAGAACTCTGAATGAAAAGTAAAATGCTTGCTGTGACCTTTATTTGACAGCAGAAAACTCAAAGAGCCGAGATTTTGCTGCTGGAAAGTACTTCTCCTTTCAATGGGTTCCTCTCTATTCACACTGCAAACTGGGAACTGGAGCTGCGTCTTTGTGTGCCTGTCTCCCTGTTTCTAGCTCTGGCTGCCAAAGTCCTTCTCCTCTCTCCAGCTTGCTCATTATGAACGTTCTCAGCATTGTTCATCAGGCCTTGCAAGGCCTCAGAGACTGACCTTGGTGGGGATAGCATGGGGTCCGGGCACTCTGATGGTCAGCAATAAAGCCCACTGCTCTCTCCACCAGGTTCAAGGGTAAAGACCTGCCTCCCTCTGGAATTAGAGCAGGCCCCTCTCTCTGTAATCAGCACGCCCAGGAAGGAGCCCACAGAAGCCATTGCCCACTGTCTTTTGGAAACCATAAGCCCCTCTTTTTGGGCTTTATGCCCACAGTTGCCTGGAAGCTTTCAAAAGCCAACAATTGACAAGTTTTGTGGTCAAAGTCCCAGAAAAGCATCCTGAAGTAACTTCCTGCCACCTCACTCAATTAGGGACCTAGAGGGAAATGACATTATCCACTCCACTTTGTCAAGTGACTCCTAATGAGGCTAAAGGAAAGTCACAGAGCTCCCCAAGCCTCTCCCCTGACAATGACGCATCCTGGGACACTGAACGTGCCTAGAAGTTCAGAGGCCAGCCCTGAAGGCCAGACCTCAGTCACCCCCAGGTTCAGACAGAAAACACTCAGGACTTGAAAATGGAAGGTGCAACTGGACGACTCAAGGATGGAAAGACTAAACTCCATGGCTGCTGCCCTGGAGGCTGCTCCAAATACTTGGACTTGGGCAAATTTTCCCAACCACAGGACCCCCACGTCCTGCCAACCACACTGAGGGAATTACCTACTTGATAACAATAGTTTTTACAAGCGTCATCATCACTCTACAAGCACCAGTCTGAGGGAGTGAAAGACACTTTTCTGCTCAACTAGTTCCTTTCCAAATAATTATATAAAAGTTGCACACAAAACTGGTCAGCACCAGAGCTAATTCTGACTCAAAGCCAATGAGAACAGAATTCAACAAAGTAGTTGGTATGTCCTGTTCTGGTCTCTCAACTGGGCAGCCCCCCACTTCCTTCCTCTGTCAACCCAACAATGAAAAACGTACAAGACTCGCAGGCTTTTGAGTCCCTTGAAGGCGCCTTCCGCGATGTGGCTGATGGAATTGTGGCTGAGGCGCAGGATGTTCAGGCTACTCAAGTCAGCCAGGCTCTCCTCATCCAGCCGGGTAAGGTTGTTGAAGGACAGAATCCTGAAAGGTGCAGACAAATGTCATCACCTGGTCACAGGGGGTTGCCCTACCTCTCTTTTCCTGAACATTGAGTCAACTAGGTCTGAGTGGGAAGGCACACACTCATTGATATATATATACAAACGCACATACCTACAAGAATCACAATGGAAAAAGTGGCCATGACACTAAAACCCCATCAGAGCCCCAAATCCATACAGACTGACTCCTGAGACTGTCTTGTAGGTCATGGAGAGGGAGGGTATTCGTTAAACTGTGCAGACTACACAAGATCACAGGACACAAGAACCCTTTCCAATCCTTTCATGCTGATATCCATGGCTGGTTCTGGCTCAGGCTAAGAAAGACCTCCCAATGCAGTGACCTAGAGAGTCTGAACAGGGCCTTGTAAGCAATGATACAACACCCACAGCCAGCAGGTTCTTAAGAGTGAGGAACTCTAGTTAGACTCCCCACATCAGCCACCAGAGGGCACCACCAGCCACTGCCTTGGACAAGCCTTCCACACCAATACTTCACACCTCACCTGGGCGACAGATAACCAGGGGATGTCAGAGTCAACAGCTTAGCTCCCTTGATACCATCCAAGTCAGCTTTTCAGCATGATCCACCTACTGTATCCAGGGCAGGGAACAAGCCCCAACAATCACACACCTTCCCTGAGTGTCAGAAGCAAGCCCTCCTTCCTCACAGCACTTCTCTTGTATGTCTGACACAGTCCTGGGCTGGTTACTTGGCATGTTACTCATCTATCTTTGAAAAATGGTAAACGTGGTCTGGGGTGGGAATAAAGAAAATACATTCAGAGAAGATTAATGAGTTTTTTAAAGGCTGCAGGGAGCTACATTCTTTTCCTTCTGGAGAAATAAGTCATGGTGTCTGTCAGTCACCAAGACCTGGCAGGAGATCAAAATCACATCGTTACCTGCAATTAAAGAATTTAGCTTAGAGGAGGTGGGGCAATACCACAATGGAAAGCAATCCTCAATCTGGCTCTAAGGTTAGCTGGGTATTAGGCAAACTGCTAGGTTGGTCAAAGCACGCTTCCATGGCCTTTTCTGCCCCTTATAAAGGGACACAGCAGACAGCCTCACACTGTCCATCAGCTGAAAAGGGACACAGGAGGGTGTGGCCTTGTAGCACAGCCTCATGACCAGGGGCTTACACATCTTCACGTGATTCAGAGGGAACTGCTTCTCATCTCCGTATGAGACAGGCCAGGTTTGGGCGACTCAGAAGACCTGCTGCTTCCCTATCACTTCCAGCCCAGGCCCATGGACAATCATACACCCTATGATGTGTGGGGGGAGAGGAGGGGTGACTGTATGTGTAAGTGGGGGAGAGAGAACACAGAAGAAAAGATTTTTTTTAAAAACACCAGTTGCAAAAACCAACATTAAGTCTGAACACCCCCTTGAGTTTGCCTGGTAAGTGCAAGAGAGAGACAAGAAAGGAGCCTGGCCTGACAAACTTTCGTTCATTTCAATGGGTACGGCTTTTCCTATAGGCAAGTTTAGAAAAAGAAAGGAAACCCACCTGAATGCTCCTAAAGAACAAAGGAATCTAATCAATAGATAAGGACCCTAGAAATGAAAAACCTTGCGCATTCTAAACTAAAAGAACCAACATGCTGAGGGTATGCTCTTCCCTCCACCCAAAACCACTCTTTTGTATTTCCTAGAAATGGTTCTCAAAGAACATGGATCTTTCAGCTAAGTCCTTGGCTATGCTGCTTTAATGATTAGTAACCAGCCCAACCAGACATGATGGCAAAGGCCAACCCTCACCATGCAGCGAGAGTGGCTGCGATCACTGAGCTCAGGGAACCCTGCGCACCGGCTTGGAGTTTAGTTCTGACACAGGAGTTCTGTCTGGGGACAGCTGAGAGGATTGGGGGGATGTGATCGCTCAGCAAAGTATAAGCACACTTTCCCAACTGCCGCCAGACCGCAGAAATGCAAAACGGGGCCAAGGAAGGAGCCAGGACCTTGTCAATTTGTCTGAAAGAAGGAAGGTGAAAATCCATGTCTCAGCATCTCTCAGTTTCATTCTTAGTCAAATCCTCCTTTCTAAGCTTGAGCCCAATAACCTTTTTCACCAGAGGAGGAGGTGCTACTTGGTACAGCCATTGCTATACAGTCACACTCACAAAAGCTGCAATGCAAACATTTCCTTCGGCTGCCCTCCACAGCAGAGCCCCAGGAGAAGCCTGAGGGCAGAGGCTCCCAGCAGGGATTTACAGCCTACTCCTTCTGTCTAATCTGAAAGCAGGGGGAGCTGAGAGATGAGAGAGGGAACCAAACCCAAACTCTTGAGGTCTGCTTGTTTCCTCTGGATCCTTCTGCAGGCCTGGCTGGTTTAGGAATTGTCCACCCTCCAGGGAGCTCTAGTAGCATTGTGTCTAAGGCGCTTGACTGCTAACCAGAACACTGACAGTTCACCAGCCACTCCTCGAAAGGAAGGTTGGGCAATCTACTTCCATAGTGATACCGCCTTGGAAACCCAAGGGCGGGGGGTCGCTATGAGTCTGGGCCGACTTGATAGCACATAATAACAACAACCAACAACATCCACCCTCCAGCCTGGTGCCTCTGAGTTCCCTCCCTCGACAACCTTCCCCAGAACACAGTGCTGGTGCTGTGGCCATGCCTACAGCTTCCAGGGCCCTGCAGGACCTATCTACAGGTTGTATCTCTAAACACCCCAATGCTCGCGGACACTTACAGCTCATGCAATTTCTGGCAGAAGCTCCAGCCATCACGGTTAATGCTAGAAATTGAGTTGTTGCTGAGGTGGAGCTGGTGAAGGGCTGTGAGGCCGTAGAGCGAGCCACTGTTCACTTCCATCAGGCTGTTGTACTCCAGGTGCCTGCAACGACAGCCACGGCCAGGATGAGGCCAGCCCTGCAGGCAACTCTTGGCAGAGGTGAGGAACTTAACAATGGCAGGTGCTGGTGCCAGCCAGGCACTTTGTTGAACACTACCTGTGCTATTCATCCATCCATTCCACAGACAGCAAATAAATAGCCAAATTATCAGGAATGGTGGCTGGCATGGGGAACATAACAGTGCGTGAGAGAACTGTAGCATGGGCTCTCTCCCTCTCCTGAGTGTGTATGCATATATAGGAGATGGGAGAAGACAGGCAAAACAGTAAGAGAGTGCTAAGGGCACAGACAGACTGAGAAAGTTCAGAGGGCAAGGGAAAGCTTCCAAGAAGTGACCTTTTACAGCTGAGACATCAGGGAAGAACAAACGTGATCCAGGCAAACAAATGGGCAGAGGAGTTCCCAGGAAAGGGCACAGTGAGGGCAGAGCCCAGTAAAGGAACAGAAAGAAGGTATGAGATAGCTCTTATTATTATCCTCCCATCTTAAAAAGGTAGAAATGGAGGCTGAGAGAAGAAGCCAGTCACTTCTAAAGATTCCACAGCTTAGCAAGTAATGGCAGTAGGGGTGAGGGGTGGTGGGTGGTGGGTGGTGAGGTAGAGTGGGGCAGATTTCAAACCCAGGTTACCAACATCTGCACTATGGACCAACTGTGCCAACAGACACTGCTTTAGTTCTAAGGTGCGAATACTTGGGCTTAAATCCTAATTTTGCCACTTGCTGGCTGAATGAACCTGAATATTTATAGCGTGGAAGTATCACCAGTATCGACTTCATAGGAATAGGACCATTAGGAGAAGGAAATGAGAAAATGAGTGTCAGGATCTTAACGCAGATTTGGATTCCAGGGACTTAAGAATAAACTCCTTTTGCCAAGGATGGCAGGGACACATGGGAGGCTGACAACGGGAAAGGAGACAGATGGTGAGTGTATAAGTGCTGCCAGCTACTGAGTAGAGGAGCACAGTATACCGCCTAACTTAGATAAAATTCAAAGAAAACAAAAATTGTGGGCAATTCACTTCAACATACAATCAATTACCAATTAAATATAAACACAAAAATGTCATAATGCCTCAGAGACAACAGAGCATCATAGTGCACATAAAGAAGCAAGATAAAGCAGGAGAAACAAGGGACCAGGATATAGACCCAAAACACATCCCTGAGTAATACGTAGCATTGGCACTCCGTACTAAGGAATCAAAAGAATTATATTTAGGTATTTTCAATGAATTGAGAGACAGATCAAGGAAAACATGGACAAATTTGAGGAAAACACAGAGAAAACCCGGGAACAATTTCAAAAGACAATACAAGAGCAAATGACAAAATAAATGAAAAATCAGAAATGATACAAAATCTATATATAGAAATCCAGAAGATTAATACTAAATTTTCGGAATTGGAAGACACTGAATGGGCAAAACAGTAGAATTGAACCAATGGAAGACAGAATTAGTGAGATTGAAGGCAAATATCTCAACACTTCTTTCTAAACCAATGATTCAGAAAAAAGATCAAAACAAAATGAAGAAAGCCTGAAGTTCATGTGGGATACCATCAGAAGAAATAACCTATGTGTCACCGGAATTCCAGAACAGGAAGAGAAAAAGGAAACCACAGAGAAAATTGCCGAAGATTTGTTGGAAGAGAATTTTCCTGGTATGATGAAAAATGAGAATATATCCATTCAAGAAGTCAGGAGAACCCCAAACAGGATAGACCCCAAAAGAAAATCACTAAGACATATCATCATCAAACTCACCAAAACCAAAGACAAAGAAAGAATCCTGAAAGCACGGGAAAAACGAAAAGTTACCTACAAGAGGCAACCAGTAAGACTAAGCTCAGATTTCTCAGAAGAAACCATGCAGGCAAGAAGACAATGGAATGGTATATATAAAACCCTGAAAGAGGAAAATTTCCAACCAAGAATTATATAACCAGCAAAATGGCCCCTCAAATATAATGGTGGAATTAGGACATTTCCAGATAAGCAGAATTAAGGGAATTTGTTAAAACCAGACCAAACTTACAAGAGATGCTAAAGGGATTCCTTTGCATAGAGAAGCAACAATAGCAAAGAATAAGTGACCATTAACACACATGGTGACATAACCCAGAAATCAAGCCAGCTATTGAAATATCCAAAGTACATAAGCCTGTAAGATTATAAACAGGGAACCAGAGACATCAATTGACAAATGAGGACAACTACAAACCAAAAAGAGAGAAAAAATTGTGTAGTTACAGAACTTCTAAATGGTAGGGAAGTCAAGACAACTATAAGATTGTTCTAAACTTGGTAAGAAAACAATAAATTACAGGATAACCTCAAATGATAAACCTTCACATCAAAATAAAAAAGAGGACCAGCATAAATATTTAGCAAATACTAAAACAATAGCAATGAAGGAAGTGATAACACAATTCATAAACAAAACAAACTCAGCACAGAAAATTATATGGAACAAAGAAATGAACACCATGATAAAGCATATTAACAAAAATGTTATCAAATTCATACTTGTTGATAATTACATATCTGGCAAAGGACTTATCTCTAGGATTTATAGAAAACTCCAACGCCTCAACAGCAAAGGGATTAACAATCCAATTGAAAAATGGGCAGAAGACATGAATAGACACTTCACCAAGGAGGATATTCAGGTAGCCAGCAGATACGTGAAGAGATGTTCATGATCGCTGGCCATCAGAAAGATGCAAATGAAAACAAGATACCATCTCAACCCAGCACTGATGGCAAGGTTCAATGAGACAGAAAATTACAAATGCTGGCAGGGATGTGGAGAGATTGGGACTCTCATATGCTGCTGGTGGAACTGTGAAGTGCTACCTACAACCACTGTGGAAAGCAATATGGCGATTCCTTCTCTTGTTCTTGTCATGTGCCATAGAGTCAGACCCAACTCGTAGTGACCCCTCCTTGGGTTTCCTAGGCAGTATCACTACAGAAGTAGATTCCCCAACCTTCCTTCCAAGGAGTGGTTGGTGGGTTTAAACCGCCAGCCTTCTGGTTAGCAATCAAGTGCCTTAGACACTATGCTACCAAAGCGATTCCTCAGAAAGCTGGAATTGGAGATACCATTACAAGGTATATATCCTAGAAAGGTGAGAGCCAGGATAGGAACAGATATATGCCCACCCACGTTCATCACAGCACTATTTACAATAGCAAAAAAATGGAAACAACCTATGTGTCCATCAAGGAAGAATGGATGACCAAACTATGGTACATACACACAATGGAAAGTTAAGTAGCACTGAAGAGTAACATAGAGTCTGCAAAACACCGCATAACATGGATGAACTTGGAGGACATTATGCTGAGTGAAATAATTCAATCACAGAACAAATACAGTATTAGTTCATTGTTCTGGAGGGTCAAGGAAAGATTTATATATGGAGAGAAACTTTCTTTGTTGGTTGCCAGGAGTGGGAAGGTAACACTGCCAAAAAAAAAAAAATAAAGCACTGACTCATGTCACTTGAGTTTTGTGTATTTCACTATACATAAATTATATTTCAATAAAATGCATTAAAAAAAAAAAAAAAAGATCTTAACACAGTACTCAGTTCTCAACAATTTTGTTGCGTAAGCATGTTATTGCCCTTCAGCACACCCCAGCAAAGGGTGACTTGACCACATGTGACTGGCCTCTTCAGTGAAAGTTATTAATTTAAATGCTGCTCCATGCTCAATGTTACAGGGGACTTGAGCAAGCAGGCTTTGCTTTTTCCCCCATCTTATTTTCTGCTACTGCTCAAAAAGCAAGCACTAATGTCTAAACAACCTCAAGATGATTCATCACCCCCCAATTTGTATAAATCTGTTCAACAGAAAAACAAAATGATTATTTGGACATTCTAATTTCTTCTGAGAATCTGAGGATTCCCTCTTAATCTTGGCTTACACAGCACACCATCCCCTGGATTTCAAAGTCCAAGATGACAGTTTTAAGGATGTCAAGTAAGTTTTCTTGAAAACCTAACAACAGAGATACAACTAACTAAATGTGGAAGATGAGGCAAGTGGGAAGCCAACAGCAGTGCCTGTGTCCTTGTTTTACAGCATGTATGTGGGGTGGGGGCGTCAGCAAGCGCTGCTTCTGAAAATGAGGACAGCGTAAACAGTGGACTGAACTGTGCCTGCATTTTTTGGTTTTTGCTTCTGTTACAATAACCAGTCAAGGATACAAAGAGCAGTGACACAATTCATACAAAGTGGGAGGGAGAGGGGATATCATCATGGATTGTAACACAAGAAATCTCAAGATGATAAATATATACTTTATGTGTATTACCTTGGAGACTTGCAAGCAACCACCAGTGTGACTAAAATCAGAGAACCCTGAAAGAAATGAGGCAAAGTGACTGCCTCTTGGGAGTAGAACTAGGGTAAAGAGGGAACCTGGGGGGGCGGTGCCATGACTGCTTTTCCTTACTGATTTTATTTAACTATGGGTACACACTTTTTTTTTTTTATTAAAAAAGCAAATTTAATTGTTTGAAAACAGAAGATCATGAATTGTCTTTTGTGTATGTTTTGTGTTGTTTTACGTTACTCTGGCAAGCACCCAAGTTCTCTTATTGTACACAGCTGGTTGAAGAGAATGCTCCCCTGATAAAAGTTGAACATCTGCACAGAATGCCTTGATTAGCTCACAAGACATAAATAAATCTCTCAGGATGAACTATACATTGTTGGCCCACCTGCACATCAAGAAAGACTGTCAAACCCACGAGTTGGGAAAGAAGGCACTTCCTGTGGTGTGTGGGAGAAGGAGAGGTGTGGGAAGGGAGTCAGATGTGAGATCCCACGTCCACCACCACAGAAGTGGGGGTGGGGAGCAAAAACGGGCAAGAGGAAGGAGGCCCCCAAAAATGGTTCCATTGTCCATTTCCATCAACCAGCTTATCTGATCCAATCCACTAACACCTCCCCCCAAGAGCTTTTGCTACTTCTACAAAGAAGAAAATCCGATTTGGGCCAGTCCCTACAGACACTGCTTAAGCTGGATACCACAGGGTTAGGTCCAGCTGAAGCCTCACACAATCTTTTACAGCAGGGTGCTGGGTTTGGGTTCCCCATGATATGCTCAGCTCTGGTAGCATAGTGCCTAAGGCACTTGACTGCTAACCAGAACGCTGGTGGTTCAAACCCACCAGCCACTCCTCAGAAGGAAGATGGAGCAATCTACTTCCATAGTGATACTGTCTTGGAAACCCAAGGAGGGGTCACTATGAGTCGAGTCCGACTCAACGGCACATAACAACAACAAGATACATAAACACATGTGTGACACAAACAGACCACATATGTGTCCTGAGTTTCACAGCAAAGTCAGGCCCCACTCAAGCTCAGCCCACACTTACAGCACATGCATCTTGGACAGCCCCCAGAAGGCCCCATCCGTCAGCTTGCTGATGTTGTTTCGCTGAAGCTTCAGCACCTCCAGACTGTCGAGTCCCTGGAATGTGAGGCCCTCAATGAGCCGGATCCGATTCCGATTGAGGTCCCTAAAGAGGTGGACCCAACAGGTTCAGAACATACGATCCACACACCCACTTACAACCATTCCCATGCAGCCCCGACTGGGTGGGTTTCTCAAGCCAGAATGGAAAATCTCATCATGTGAGGTTCTGTGGAAACTGAAATCCACACTCTTGTGTGTCTCACACCCCCTCCTCACCCATTGACATGGAACAGGGCGCCACTGCTAATGAGTAAAAGAGGAGGACATGCAGCTGACACAGAAGCCATCCTCACGTCCCCTGCTTGAGTATGCACTCACATCTCTCCTTCTGAAAACCAGAGCACCAATCAGGATGCTGAAGCAAGGAGGTGGGTGTGACTCAGGATGTGAGCACCTTAGGTACGATATTTCTTAGCTTAGCAATAGAAATGCTCAACCACTGGGTATCAAATGACTACCACACTTTTCCCTCAGGGCATTTAACAGGAACTGTACTTATGGAGAGGAACTCTGCTGACACAGTGGTTAAAGCACTTGGCTGCTAACCGAAAGGTTGGCAGTTTGAACCTAACAGCTGCCCTGTGGGAGAAAGATGTGGCAGTCTGCTTCCATAAATATTTATAGCCTTGTAAACCCTAGGGGCAGTTCTTCTCTGTTCCACAGGGTCTGTATGGACCTATGGAATTGGCTTTTTTTTTTTTTCAGCTTATGGAGAGAAGTTACTGCACACAGCAGGGTGGGAAAAGACACCATCATGAAGTATACTTATTTGGTTTCTAGCCCCAGTATGATAAAGCCTTAGTCAACCAAAAGATTTCAGGAATCTGGGTGGGCTGGATCCGCTACCAGTGCTGGAGGAAGGGGAAGGAGAAGCAAGCACAGGGTTGACCAGAAAGCCCTTGATTTCCCCCAAATATTTCTGCAGTGTCTCATGACCTTGTCCTATGCATAACCTACTAAGTGTTATGGTAATGAGACAGACTTGCTCCAAGGACTAAGAGGAACAAGGCTCCAACTGGATTGTACTCAGGGTGGTGAGGTAGGGTAGAGGCACTGTGAGGCTGGGGTCACCCTGTCTTGCTGTCAAAACCTGCCCCTAAATAATTATTTTGTTCGGTTTGAACCAAATGTCCAATATCAGCTTATTTTCTTTAGAAATGTTCTTTGGTATAGAAAAGGACAAAGGAGACAGAAAAAAAAACAGGGAACAAAGAGTCTATAATTGGTTCTAGTTAGAAGAGGTATTCCTCAATCCAAAGTCCTATGCCCCATTCTAGGAGGACACTCAACCAAGGTCGTCAAAAATGTAACAAATAAATTAAAAAATAATAATAATACATCAACTGCCTTGTAAGATTGAGGAGATGACAACTATAACCCACCTCTTGCTCATTATCTCTGGCTAGAACAGCTTCCTCTCTAACTACCTGAGCATCATCAGGCAGCATAAGGTCCCAAGGTAGAGATGCTATAGGTAACTCTGAAAAAGCCTCAAACCTCTCAGATCAGTTAAGGACCAAACCCACACAGCCTACACATTGTCCAGTGTTTGCTAACTAGCAGGATTCCTCACTTTGTTTTGAAAAATGCCAGTGAGGACAAACATTCACACATCTCAGCTGATCTTTTTCTCAGCAATCTGAGACAGCCCGGAGGCATCAAACCCAGGGTCCTAATTTGCTTTTATTAGGTGCTGCCATGGGGCCATTAATGATATTTCATGCAGAACTTTACTGACAAGGAGTAAGGAAGGGGTGGCACTCGGTATGAAGTCCTTGGGGAAATTTGGCCTCCATAAAGTTTGGCCAACCTTGATTAAAGTGAAGGTTTCTTTACTCACAGTTGTGTCAGCCTGGGTAATTTGAATGCTTTCACAGGAAGCTGGGTGATCCTGTTTTTGCTCAGCCGGAGCATTAGCAGCGACCGTGACAGACCATCAAATGCTCCCGACTCCAGGGTGCCGATTCGGTTGCTCGCCAGGTTGCTGGAATGATTTGGAAGAGAAAATGTTGCAGTCAGTAGGCGGCCTTCCTTCTTCCATCACAGACATCAGACCCAACTGTGCAGGGAAAACAAGACACCCAGAGGGATAGGCTTCTAGTGAGATATTTGTCATCACCAGGCTGTGAATGTCATCTTGACTCCCAGGGGGCAGCTGAGGAAATCCAGGTATCAGGACTGTCCAATGAAGGCCTTGAGGTTTGCCCTGTTTTGTGCCCAAGGCAAACTGTACCTCCTCCCCCAATCATTCTCACACACCAGCCCTGCCACCAAATTTCTCCTCACCACCTGCCAAGAGTCATGGCTCAAGGCTGGTGAGAAAAGCCTTATGAAGCACAATGTCAACTGGGAGGAAAGGTTGGAGTGGATTTAATAATCTCGGTAAACAGCCTTTAATTTTGAAGTGGAGCTTATTTTATGACTTTCATAATAAATGTGTATAAACCAAGCCATCCTAACAATTCTAAATGACCCCTGAAAACACACTATTCAAAGAGATCTGCAAAGACCTTTTACAGAACAAACAATACTTCAGTGCTACCTGTATTTACAGGACTGTGTATGTAAGGGGTACCTTCTCTTACAATACAGAAAAGGCAGGTTCCATTTCTGAAAATGCATTGTAGGCACAGGAATGAGGTTAACCACAGGGAGGAAGTGGAAAGAGAGTGATTACATTGTGGGGAATTGCAGTCGATGTCATGAAACAAAATGTGTATTATGAATTGCTGTATGGAAAATGCATTTGCTCTGTAAACTTTCACCCAAATCACAATAAAATTTTTTAAAAAATGCACTGGAGGGTACAGCTAAGATGTCTGCATTCCACTGTACATGAATTATATCTCAAATATTTTTTAAAGAGAGAGAGAGAGAGAGAAGAAAAGGGAAAAATAACAGGGTGTTCCTGTAAGAAGTTGCTTCCTGACACCTCTTCCTTTTCTACTTTCCCTGGACAAACGCTGCAACTGTGAGAACATATGAAGGGGAGAAAAACCACAGGAAACTTTCCACAGTGGACAAAGCAAGGGAGGCGATGAGGCACTTCTCGTCCCTGCATCAAGCAGGCGCCCAAAACAGGGCACATGAGGACTCTCTGTAAGTGCAGCTGGACTATTTGTTCTTAACACTTCAGATTAAAGAAGAACAGTGTGTGTGATTAAGAGACATTGGCCTTTATCTACCAGAATAGACAGTTCCTCCTGCTCTCATGCAAGGAGAGAAGGTCACTGAATTTCATGTTAGCAGCTGGAGGTTTCTTTGCCCCAAGCAAGAAGTGTCAGGTGGCACCTGGACACCTTTTCAGAAGTCCTCCTTAGGGACTGAGCATGGCCACATTGGTTCAACAAAGAGCCCGGGCCTCCTATTTCCAGCTCTGATGCCCTCATGTAGCCTGCTCATCTCAGGGTCTTCACTTAGAAAACCAGTGTGCTAAGGCTCGGTCTCCCTGAAAAGATGGATCATTGCTACCACTTGACCAGCCTCGCCACAGATCTGCAAAGTAACTCAGGCACAGTACTAATGCAGGGAGTGTCACCTGAATGTCTCTTTAGCCTGTTGGTTTCTTCCCCAAACCAACTTTTCCTGTCAACAAGTGGTAGATTAAATAGATGATTAGCTTTCCTTCTTCCTGTCTACTTTCTGTTGGGTGTGAGATGGGGCATGAAAATGGGGTAAAAGAAAAATAGACCAATAAAGAAATCTTAAAGTCCTTGAGAACCTACATAATGCACTAACTGCCCACCCACTCCAATGACCCAAAGGAATTGTTTTTCAAAATAGGGCATGACATAGAAAGATAAGTTGAGTCTTTGACAAGGTAAGCTTTGTCACAGAGGTCTCCCTCCAAGTGACTCATCTCACACTACCCCTCAGTCTTGTTTGTATGCTTTTCTGGAAGCAGCCCAGTGAACTGGAAAGAAAATAGACTTTGTAGTGAAGATGACCTGTATTTAATTTCTAGACTCTCCTCTTTGAGTGGGGTATCCTGGGGTGTGATTAAGACACATTGGCCTTTATCTACCAGAACAGAAAAAAGAATACTTAGCCTCAATGTCCTTGTCCATCTATGAAGTCAGAGTCAGGCTGTGGGATGTGGAGATACTCTTTATCAACAAGGTGAAAAGGTGGCACAGGTGTGGGTTCCCTGCCCTGCTAAAGGAAGCTGATGGAAGTCTGCATAACAGACCTGAGAGGAGAAGGAAACCCTCATTTTGTCTGGGAAAGCCACTGCCCAGCTCAGGAGCAGAAGGAAAGCCATTTACAGCAGAACAGATGGCACTTACAGCTCCCTTATATGCAGTCCATGGGGAAAGCAGGCGCTCCGGATTTCCGTGATGTTGTTCGAACTCAGATCCAACACTTCTAAGGAAAGGTAAGCCTTCAGCTGACTCCCCTCCACACTGCGAATCTTATTGTGTTGCCTAAATCACACAAAGAGAAGTGACTTGATCATTTATTTTTGCAAAGAAACTGTAACCAGAACCAGTTGCTGCAGAGTCAATTCTGACTAATGGTGACCCCACATGAACCAGAGAAAAACTGTGCTCCATAGGGGTTTCAATGGCTGAATTTTTGGAAGCAGACTGCCAGTTCTTTCTTCCAAAGCACCTTTGGGTGGACTTGAACCACTAACCTGTCAGTTAGCAGCCAAGAACATTAACCTTTTGCATTATGCAGGGATTCCAAAGAAACTGCAAGAGATGGTAATTATCCCACTGCCTTTTTCAGACACTTTTTCTCATAGCTGTTTTAAAATGCTGTCTCCCATTCCTCTTACCTTCAATTTTGTATGTGCTGGCTGAGTGTTCCAGAAACCAAAACTAAACTCATTGCCATGGAACTGAACCCAACTCATCGCAACCCCTCCTTGGGTTTCTGAGGCAGTATCACTACGGAAGTAGATTGCCCAACCTTCCTTCCGAGGAGCGGCTGGTGGGTTTGAAACACCAGCCTTCTGGTTAGCAGTGTTCCATAGGATATTGGATTTTCTGTCTCTCTTCTGTGACAAACATTCTCTGTCAGAGTCCTATGCCAAGGCTGCTCTCTCCAAGGGTGAGAACACAGTGGTGGTATTTGAGACCACACAGAGAGCAGTAAGACATGACTGGAACACTAACCATAAAGATGCATTGACCATAAAGGATTACCCAGGACCACCAGCCTAACTAACCTTCATCTATCATCTTTAGAACCTAGCCCAGCCATTTAAATTTCAAGACTGTACACCAGAGCCCAGAGTTCCATTTAATCCGACTGAATTGTCATTACACACCTCACACTTTACGGACACTGACTACATGCCAGGCATGGAGACAGGTACAGAGGACTAAAGAAAACAAAGGAGATGACGAAAATCCTGACCACCGAACAAAAGAACCAGGAACTAACTGGTAATTGGTCTGACTGGAATTGAATCCCCTGGACTTGACTCCTCAACAGCTTTGTGCCTTCATTTCTGTGCCTCAGTTTCCTTGTCTGAACAATGGGGGCCACAACCTCTCATTTTCTAGGGACATGGAGACCTAACCTGAAAGCACAGCGTCTGTAGACATCAACCAAAGTGTTCAAAGGGTTTACCATCTGCCCTAGGAAAGACAATTTTCCACCAAGACTTTTTTGCACTTTTAATCCTCCTCCTGTCAAACCCACAATCTAACCAACCACCCAATATTTATTTATCAGGAGAAATAAAACAAATGCTAACCAAGGTTCAAGGGAACTGCCCCACATGGGTTTGGCCCTGGTAGTAGATACAAACCACCACAGCCCCAATTCCAATATTCAGATACTTAAGGCTCTGCTGGGCAATAGCACAGGCCTCTGGGTTCCAATTGGCACTCACTCTGGCCAGTTTCTGAGTAAACAGCATCAGCATCTCTGGCCAATCAAAGCACTCTTGAACACAACACAAGTAAGCCAGGCGTCGCTTACAAAGTGGCATCTCCTTTAAACAAACATTTGACCAAATCATTTCCAAAAGGCATAAACAAGGACCTCTTTCCCAGAAGCTCTGGGCCTCTCATTGACACCTTTGTTTTTTTCACAAGTCTCCCAGGCCCTGGACTCAAACACCCATTTACAAGGGCACAATTCCACACACAGCACTGTCTCGGAAGAATGAAAGAGCAATGTTCCCATCACCTCCCCTGCCCTCCCCACAAAGCTACTTCCCTCGAGTTCTTTATTGAGTTCTTTAATAAAGCACAGTCTCTTCAGTTTTGTGACTCCAAAAGAAAAAGAGAAAACCTTTATTATGTAAAGTATGGGGGGAAAAAAAAGAACAAGAAATAATGGCAACACAACTGAATCTTATCCAGGAACGTTTCAATGCAGTACCAGGGAGCCAGGACAAGAGGATCTGAGCCAGAAAGGGAAGGGGCACTGTTGGCCCAAAGTGGCAGAAGGAAGAAGGCTCTGGCATGGGCGAGAACCAACCAGGTGAAAGGCCCTGGGGACAGCTCTCAGACCCTCTGATACCCGCACCCACACACACAGGCCCCTGTTGTCTCTCCTCTCCCGACCTCCTTCACAATCTCCTTCACAGTCTCCTTGTCTTTGTCTTTCATCTTATACTTTTGCTCTCTTTCTTTTCAGTCTATTATTAATTGAATCAAACATGTCCTGGACCCCCACTCTGCCTTTGCCCACTCTGGCAAGGACACTGTGATCAAAACAGGTTTCATTCACATGCTAGGGAATGTTCCCAATGTAACAGAGGAAGCAGCCAGGGAGACAAGACACCCTGGTGCCCAGAATAAGAGTTAAGGCACAGGAAAAGCACTGGGAGCCGAGAGGACAGTAGTGCTAAATTCTACCTGTAGGTAGGGGCTACGGCAAGAGCCACAGGGTGGGATGCAGTAGCTGGGAGGAGACAGCCAGGCAGAGGACCAGGAGCTTAGAGCTAGCTGGGCAGGCAGGATGCCACCAGGAAAGGCTAAGCTAAAGAGTTGGAAATCTATAACACAGCGGTCCAGGTGAGAGATGGCAGCCATGTGGAGACAAGCACAAAAGAGAATGAAGGGTATGGATCATCTAATGGTGATCTTCAGACTGGGTGGAAATGCTGTAAAAAGATTAGGAATATCAGATAACCAGGTTAGCTGGGTATTGGGTACACCTTCCATCTTTGTCCACTTAGTCTATTTCCAACAGAGCAGCCAGAAACACTGTGTTGGAATGAAATCAGCTCATTGTACTCTTTTGCCCGACACTCATCTCTAACTTAGGAGCAAGTTCTTCCACACATGGCCTCAGCCTCACCTGCTCCTCCACCGCCCACACTCTGGCCCTCACTGCTCTACAACCTTGCTAGGCAGACTCCTGCTGCTTCCTCCAGAGATCACTTCTCTTACATTCTCACTTCCTTCAATTTACTCAAATTCCACCTTCTCAATGAGGCCTTCCCGGGCCATGCTCTCTAAAGCCACAAGCCCCTTCACATACACACACAGAGACACACACTTTCCACTCTTGCCCAGTCCCCCACCCCAAAAAAAGTCCTTAGTATCACCTAATGTCCTCAGTATTTTGATTCTTTCTTGTTCAACATCTTCTCTTGACCAAGATGTGGTTCTATGACAGTAGAGACTTTTGTTTATTTTGGTCACTGTTGTGTGTGTCCCAAGTCATTAAGGCAGTGCAGGCCACACAGTAGGTGTTCAATAAATATTAGGTGGATAAGCCACAAAGAATGAATACAGAGTGGCTTCAAGGGAAGGGCAAGGCTGGACCCAGATTTGGAAAACATCAGCAATTAAGCAGGAAAAAAACGATGCAGGCAGATAAGTTCAATCAGGGGATGTGAGCAGAGAAGAGAGTTTGCCATGTGCCCTGTAGCAGCAGTGCTCAGACATGAGCAACTGAGCCCACAGAGGCTCATACACTGCTGTTCCCAGCTACCGAGTGTGCCCTCCACCCCACTCTGGACTCGAGCCCAGGACTCCGACCAAAACCCTCCCCAATTCTGTTATTGACTGAATTGTGTCCCCTAAAAAAAGCTATGTTGAAAGCCCTAACCCCTGGTATCAGTAAATGTGACCTTGTTAGAAACTAGAGTCTTTGTAAGTGTAATTTTTTAACACAGGGTCATAGCGCAACAGGGTGGGCCCTGATCCACTGTGACTGGTATCCTTGTAAAAAGAGAAAAGACACAAAGACAAAACATTGTGGAGACAGGCAGAGACTAGATTTAAGATGCTACAAACCAAGGAATGCCTGAGGTGACCAGAAACTGGAAGATGCAAGGATTCTCCCCTAGAGCCTTCAGAGAGCATGGCCCTGTGGACACCTTGATTTCAGACGCCTGGCCTCCAGAAGCGAGAGAGAATACATTTACCATGGTGTCTGGTTACGCAGCCACAAGAATTCATCCACTCTCCAGGCTCAGGAACACTAACCTCACAGCTCTGCGTTCCCATGGATTTCTACAACCTTCCCAAGCAGAGCAAGAACTGTTCTGTGCTAGATGGCTTCACTGGCCCTGCAACTCCACCCAAAGCCAGAGAGTTCCTCCTGGTCTGGAACATGGCAAAACACTGTGTGGAAGAACATGCTGTGCACACCACCCTGCTCAAGGTCCAGTCTTGGCTCACAGAAACCCTGTCTACAGAGGTGGGGTGAGGCTCCTGTGTCCTGTGAGCCGATGTGACACGTAGCGGTTGCTCAGTAAAATGAGTTCTTTTCATTAGTCATTGTTCATGTATCCTCAAAGCTAGACTCAGAATCCAGTTTGCAGAAGGACTGGAAAAAGAACGAATACATGTAAATAAAATGAATGAATTCCCCTGCGACACTTCAATGCAAGGAGGCAGTTACTGCTCCCCTCTCAGGAATACAAGGCTAACTCAGATCTCCCACTCTAAGCTTCAAACATGAAATCAGCCCAGTCCAGCTGGAGAGTGTCAAAACCAGCCACAGGGAAGCATGGACTGTCTCAGGGAGCCTGCCATGAAACAAACCCAAGTCCCCAAGTTCTGCAGCCCTCAGGGTAGCTGGAGATCTGTGTAACCCCAAACCTGCCCAGCCAAGTTATACTTCCCTTCTCATTCCCATAGCAAGTGGGGCTCAGGCCCAAACCCTGCTCAAGCACACCAACCCACCCACCCCACCAGGAGTAGCCTCCTTGTCTAAGACACTTCCTCCAAGACTCCTCCACCCAGCAAGATTAGAGGAAGCAGTAAATACTCAGACACCCACAAGGGAAGTCTTCCCACCTCCTCGAGAGTGGACTGATGTAAAAATGAGTTCGCTGCCCTGACTCAACTTGGTGTTCCAGTTTCATGGATCTGCCCATGTTTTTAATGGCATGTGCAAGCACAGGTGGTCACCACGTCACTCCTTTAACATAACTACCCAGTTCCCAAGAATAGCCACACTCATCTTTTTAACTTCCAAATCCTGTTCCAAGTTATTTTTAACAATA